TCCGCGGGAGAAAGATGAGGCTTTCTGCTCCTGTAAAGATTTACAGCCTCGGAAACTCTGTATAGGGTCTCTATGAGTCGGAACCGACTCCACGGCAGTTAACAACAACAATGAAGCAAAATAGATGATTTGTTGAATGTAAAACTGATGATCTGCTCTGTAAACCTCTACTCACAATAAAAAGCTGGAGAAAAGCAAAAATCAAAGGGGCAACATTTTCTTAAGGACAAAGTTGAGAAGAGATAAGAAGGTAGGTGGAATGGAAATAGGAACTTGCCGCAAGGAGGGGAATGCAATTGTTGAGCTGAAACAAAGTGTATGATTTGTTGACTGTAAACTCTCACTCAATTGTGGTTGCAGGTAAACCCTCACTCAATTCAAAATAAAAAGTAAAAAGTAAATGGATTTAGAAAGGACAATGGGGTCATGGGATGGGGTCCAACCTACAAACAAGAGCCCTCTGTCTCTAAGGACACTTCTCCCGGGGGTCCCCTGCTCTGGGCTGTTCCCCTGCTGGAAGGTAAGGGACAGCGACTGGAGAACCCAAAGTGAGAAGCAACTTATGTTTGTTATTGTTATGTGCCCTTCAGTCGTTTCCTAGGAGCTACTGGTGGGTTTAAACCACCAACCTTACGGTTAGCAGTCCAGTGCTTTTCCTAGAGCGCCACACCAGACCCTTTCAAAGCTCCAGACAAAAACACCCTTCTGTACCCACTTCCTCTGTTTTGGACATGGAAAGGTGACCTTGAGTATGTCCAAACCTCAGTGTGGACCAGTATCACCCACTCTTTGGCTGTGGGAGTCTGGGGATCAACCTTTGGTCTGTTTGTATTCTAACAGGAGGCACCGCTGTGGAGTTGGGTGCACCGACAGGCCTCTTTTCCATTTAACGCCCCCAAGTCCTACGCCATGATGTCCAGTCGGGAGGGGCCCTACTTACTCTTCATAGTTGGCGATGTCGTCGTACATCATCACGATGATCTGCTCGTCGGGAATCCCATTGCGATGGACGATCTGGTAGGCATGGCATGCATCTGCCTGGGAGACACAATGTGATCAAGGGTTGGATTTTGTCCAGAATGAAACCAATTTGGGAGTTCTAAGGGTCCACATGTTTTGGCGTGTGGACGGTTTCCCTACCGGTCACATCTGTTTTAAAGAATTCCCGCCACCTAACCACGCTCCCTTGTACCCAAACTCCTATTCATCAGGTTGTTGCTGAGTCGGTTCTGACCCACAGTGACCCTGGCACAGGGTTTCCAAGGAGCAGCTGTTGAGTTTGAACTGCTGACCTTGTGGTCCAAACCGACCTTGTGGTCTAGTGCATCAGATAGCCGGTACAAAATGTATTGCTATAGGGTTTTAATTAATACCATACAAAATGTGTTCAAACATGTCTCTTCAATCAGTGGATAGTGACAGACAAGTTCTTTCCATAATACACATCTGTGGGAGCACACAATACATACACCATATTTACAGGTAACAAGAACCTTTCAAAGTCCCTATTAACTTTGTCATTTTCACACTATATTAATATCTGACAGCACTGATTTGGGTCCCCAAATCAAAATGACTTAAGACGGACAAGCCAGCAAGTTAACAGCTAGTTCTGTCTCACACAGGTGTCTTCTGATTCAAGTAACTACCTGCCATAGTTAGAGAACTGAGTAAAAACTCAAACATTAAACTCAGAACTGAAATGAGGAAGCTACTCTTTAGTTGAAAACAGCAAAGGCACCCTAGGGACGCAACTGTTAAGTGCTTGCAGCTAATCAAAAAGGAGTGGTAGTTCAAAGCCAGCTCACGGCTCTGTGAGAAAAGGTCTAGCAGTCTGCTGTGGTGCTGTTCACAGCCTTGGAAACCCTAACAGGGTGGTTCTACTCCGTCACAGGGTGCCGCTGGGAGTCAGTATCAGCTCCACGGAGCTCAACAACAACCACTGCTTGATTCCAGGGGAAGTGGAGGAGACCACCCTAAAACATGCCCCAGTAGCAACTGTGATGATATCATTAGGGGTAAAAGAAAACCTTTCCTAATGGGATTCCAGGCCCACACAAGGGTGAAGACATTCCTGCCTCGAGTTGTGGATGACATAGACCACACAGAGAGGAAAAGCGCCCCCAGGCTCCCTGCTTGGGTTTCACTAGGTTTTCCCTCAAAGAAAGGCCTGCATGTGAGCAGAGAGGGATGGAGTTATTTCACCACTTGAGGGGACCCCGGCCTTAACACAGCCCATTCTGCACAGTTCGTAGCAGAGCAATAAAAGTAAAAAGCTCCTTAAACTTCACGCCCCATGCAGAAAATAAATGGGTATTCAATACGTATTTGCCTGGCACCTAGGAGCAATTAGATAAATGGGTGACTGAATAAACAGGAAAATAACGAACAACATTATTAACTAACTTTCTTAGATATTCCAGGCAGCATCCATCTGTCCAAGGAGCTCCAGTAGCGTAGTGGTTACGAATCGGGTTGCTAATCTCACGGTCAGCAGTTCGAAACTACCAGCTGTTCCGTGGGAGAATGATGAGGCTTTCTGCTTCCGTAAAGAAACCCTATGCAGAGTCGCTATGGGTCGGAACTGACTCCACGGCACATCACCACCAGCAACCAAATCCACTTGTCCAAGATATCCTGGCCACGTGTAATTCTCACAGCAACCCTAAGGAGTATAGGTAATGATCCCCATTTTTACAAGAGGAAAACCAAAGCTTAGTGAGAGGAGGTGGTCTGCCTGAGTCACGCACTCATTAAGTCCACAAGAAAATCATTTTAAAATACTTGCTAAATATCACACACACACCAAAAGCCAAAAATCTAACCCAGTGTCATTGAGTTGATCCCAACCCATGGCAACTCACACAGCTGGAGCAGACCGCTTCATCTCTGTCCTGAGGAATGGCTGGTGGGTTTGAATGGTCAACCCCGCGATTAGCAGCCCGATGCTTACCCCACAGCACCACCAGGGCTGCTAACTGTGCAAATTTCCATTAGTGTGGAATAATGAAGACTCTCAAACACCAACTGCTGTGGACAGAATGACCTCCGGAAGACATTTATGTCCTAATCCACTGACCCTGTGAGCATGTGGCCAAGGGAAACTCAGGTAGCCGATGGATCTGTCTGCTGATCAGCAGACCTTACACTAGGGACATTACCCTGGATTCGCCCAGTCTACCCACTGTAAGACGTGACCAGCCATTATTGTCTTGGAAGATGGAAAAGGGGCCACGAACCAAGAAATGCATCCAGCCATTTTAGAAACTGGATAAGGAAAGAAAACAAATTCTCTCCCAGAGGATACAGAGAGAAATACAGCCCAGCCGACACCTGGATTTTAGCTCCATGAGACCCGCTACACACCTGCTGTTTTAAGTCACTACACAGGAGCCCTGGTGGGTTACACGTTGGACTGCTAACCTACAGGTCAGAAGTTCAAATCCACCAGTTGCTCCAAAGGACAAAGATGAAGTTTTCTGCTCCCATCACGATTTACAGTTTTAGAAATCCTATACAGTAAGGGTCACTGGGAGTTGGCCCCTACTCAGCGGCACCCTACCACCACATTGGAAATAAGAAACTAATACACCATTGGAGGAATGACCTAGAGCACAGTTGGGACTCCACTCAGGAAAACATTTCAGCATTATCCCACCCTCTAGCCCATGTGTAGCAAGAAGTGTAGTTCATACCATGTGTGGTTCATACCATGACCGAAATGGCAAAAGCCATCCAAAGACCACAAGCTGCCATGTGCTCACATGATGGAAGACCATTAAGCTCTGAACATGAATGAACTATAAGTCATGCTTTAAAACAGCCGTCTCAGGAAAATGATGAGATAAAGGTGTCATAGAAAAATCCCTTCACTACAATTAAATGTGCATCGAGGACAACAGGCAGAAGTGTACATCGTGTTCTTTACAGTTAAATACATACATGGCAGTAAAATGATTAAGCAAAGCCAAGAGATGGTTGGCAGTGGTTATATGCTATGGATTTGGTTCTGACCCACAGCAACCCTGCATAGGGTTTCCATGAAGCAGCTGCTGAGCTTGAACCGCCAACCTTGTGGTTCAAACCGACCTTGCGGCTCAAACTGATTTTGCAGTCCAGCTCGTGAATCCAAAGCATCACACTAGGGCTCCAAAGAATAAAATACGTGGGAATAAATTTTTATAAAGAAGTGCAAGGCTTGTGCACTGTAAAATTTCAAAAAAACTGAGAGAGACAAAAGAAGATTTGATTAATACAAAGACATCTCATGTTCATGGATCAGAAGACATAATACTATTATAATGATGTTGTTGCTAAGCGCTGATTCCTAGCAACCCTGTATAGAGTTTCTGAAGAGCAGCTGGAGAGTTTGAACATTTGTGGTTTACACCTACCTTTCTCCCCAAATTGATCAAAAGATTCAGTGTAATTTCTGTTGCCTTAAGCAACATTGGAAGGAAGAGAGTCCAGACAGGAGGAGGAAGTGGAATGTGTGGTTAATTGCCTCCACAGACAACTACCTCCTTTGTCCTGAGACCAGAACTGGATGTTGCCAGCCACCCCATGCCTGAGCATTTTGTTCAAAGACTACAGAAAACTCCTGAAAAGAAGGTAAAATATGAAACAGAATTTCAAATGCTCATGAAATCCAGACTTTTCAGAGCCACAGAGACTGGATAACCCCACTCCCACCCCCAAACTACTGCCATGAAAGAATCATTACGTTTTTCTCCAACAAAACTGCTGGATAGGTTCAAATCACCACCTTCTCCTTGGTTAATAGTTGGGTGAATAACTGAGGCGCCAGGGCTCCTTAAATCAAACAACAGTTTAGCTTAAATAGTTAAAAAAAAAAAAAAAAGTCTGCCTTGAGCATTGTGTTAATTTAAAGAGCTATCTAGTGCCCTGGTGGCACCATAAGCTAAGCATCAAAAGCTGCTAACCACAAGGTTGGCAGTTCAGGCCCACCAGCCACTCCTCAGAAGAATGATGAGGCTGGGTGGGGCTAGTAAAGATTTATAGTCTCAGAAATGCTATAGGGTAGTTCTACACCCAGGAGAACTGACTCAGCAGCCATGGAATAATAGCAGAGCAAAGAGAGGACCCAGGAGAATTACTGAAATCAACAGGTATCTGGAGCTTTTCAAAGTAACAAGCACTATTATAGTTAAGTGCCATTGAGAACGTTCCGACTCAGTGACCATGTGTAGGGTTTCCAAGGAGTGCTGTATCGGGGATCAAACTGGCACAAGCTACTCTAGTGTTGGAGTCCTGGTGTGGCACAGTGGGCTAATGCGTCAGACTGCAAAGCCGTTTGAACTGCAAGGTCGGTGGGTCAAGCTCACCTGCTGCTCCTTGCAAACCCTACACAGGGTCACTATGGATAGGACCTGACTTGCTGGCACTGAACAACAACTCCAGTGTTATTTCTATCAACATTCTTATCAAAAGAGAAAAGACTGGGAAGAAGAGGCGAGAATGACCCCCGGATCAACCAAAGCCCGCGCATAGCCGCATCCCCGCATCCAGCGCCTGCGCCGCGCCGCCAAAGCCACCATGCCCAAGAGAAAGGCTGAAGGGGATGCTAAGGGAGATAAAGCCAAGGTGAAGAATGAACCTCAGAGGAGATCCGCAAGGTTATCTGTTAAACCTGCTTCTCCAAAACCAGAACCTAAGCCTAAAAAGGCCCCTGCAAAGAGGGGAGAGAAGGTACCCAAAGGGAAAAAGGGGAAAGCTGAGACTGGCCAGGATGGAAATAACCCTGCAGAAAACAGAGATGCCAAAACAGACCAGGCACAGAAAGCTGAAGGTGCTGGGGATGCCAAGTGAAGTGTGGGCATTTTTGATAACTATCTACTTCTGGTGACTGTACAGTTTGAAATACTATTTTTTATCAAGTTTTATAAAAATGCAGAATTTTGCTTTACTTTTTTTTTTTTAAGCTATGTTGTTAGCACACAAAACACTTCCTTGTTTTTGGGGAAAGGGGCAAATGTCACTAATACAGTGTCTCTTAAGCTGGATTGATATGGAAGCAA